TTGTTGAGATAACTAACTCACCTGTTAAGACTTACAAAAACAAGGCCACAATATCTGTAGCATCCATTAAAAGAGATACAACATCTCCCAAAAGTAAGGAATTAAAAAGCTGGTTTGAAACAAATCCAATTACAACACCTGTCTCAACAGCCAAAAGGCGTCTAGACATMGGCCAATATAATTCAGTGCCTATAAATGAGCTAGAACAAATTAGTGTTGTATCTGAAGTAAGTGTCATCACTGAAATTCAAAATACTAAATGCCATACTTATCAATCTKGCAAAGTTTGTAAAACTGGAGTAATAACAGTAGTTGACGAAAGCTACTGTCCCAAATGCAACAAGACAACAGAATCAGTCAAAAAAGTTGTCTTAGCCATAAAGCTGAAAGATTTTAATTCAGAACTTAAACTGTTTAACGACAATATCGGTTGCCTTATTAGTTCAAACATAACTGATATGTCAAATCAAGACATATTGAATGCAATCGCTCCTTTTCACAATAAGCCCGCCTCTTTCCTCATTTTAAAACGTTCGAAAAACAATTTTATTGATTACGTTATCCTTGATATCAACTTTGATTATGAATACTTTTGATATACTGCCTCTTCTAGTGATTAAGGCTCTGTTTACATGAGATACAATGCCCCTAGTGATAGGGCCAAAATCCTTTGTTTTCAATCCTCTACGAAAAAAACAAAGGAATTAGCCCTACCACGTAGGGGCACCCTATCTCATGTAAACAGGGTCTTAGAGTAACATCCTTATAAAAAATCACAAAAGTCCTCTAATACTTCAGCATCAATAGTTGTAATGCTTTAAGTATCCCTCGTCCACTCTAAGGATGTTACAAAGAATGGTTTTCTTTAACTCATGAATACTACATAAAGTACAGTTTCGTTCTCCATTGTTCGTTAATTACATAAATATGGACATTGTGTTATTTACATGTATTTTAATTATTATGTAGTGCTTACACTATGACCATGAAATAAAATCTAAATAGTTACTAATAGTTTTATTTAGTGACTATCATTTAACTGGAACAGTCCTTAGTAACAATATATTCTGTACACTTGCCTCATTATAACTGTTCCAGTTGAGTGATAGCAACTAATAGTCACTAAATAAGAACTATTTCTTAGTAACTATTTAGATTTTATTTCATAACATATTGTAAGCACTCTATTTGAGTTGTTACCTAAAATATATATGTTCAAAATATTATATAAGTATAATATTATAATAACGACTGGATATATTCACTACATTTAGTATGTTCAAAATAAATATGTTCAAAAGCTAAAGTTTTCAATAAAGTGAAAACAATCTTACAGTGAAGCACCAATTACTTAATAGGGCAAGTTGAACAACAAAAAACAATAAGATTAGCATAAGAGACTATTCRTTTATTATGTCTCAGGGAGGGGCGGTGTTTTTATGAAGATATCGAAGGTACAATTTAAAATGTCTCTTTCAGAGGGGGTATATTTTTTCAAAGCAGGTCTTAGCGAGGGGTATGAATCACTTACAGATAATTTACCTGACGATTTACCTTTTATCAAGCTCGTCCCACACACGTTACATATTATATTGCAGTTTTTTATCTATACTTTTCTTCTCTCTATTTCTTATATTGTCTTCTAATTCTTATTTAATCATTCTTATCTTTCTATATTTTATCCTATTTCTCATTTAAAGTTGCTTATTTTTCTAGTTATTTCCATCCATTCCTTCCTTCCAAAACTTGAATGCACTTTCATCCATTCATTCACTCATATATTGTCCGATCAATTTTATCCATTCCCATATCTCCTCATTTACTAGTATCGATAAAGAACTTGTATTCGAAAAAGTATTTTGTATAATTGTGCGGCTTATGGTAGTTTGCGAAACGAAACGAAATCTGTAGTTTGCGAAACTGTAGTTTGCGAAATGAATTAAAAATTAACCAATTTAAAGGCATTCATAAGCCCTAGGAGTTACTTTTATATCCCATCCTTATTTAGTACTGACCACAGTACTCTTTCACACTGTATTTATCATCCAGAACAACGTTATTTGGATGAAGTTGTTCGCTACTCAATACTCGAACTGGCCGCCATTTTGTTGACACAGGAAGCCCGGACACAACACAGGAATCCCGATGCGGCTGGTAAGCTTTTCACAAAGCCGCCGGTATCGCTTCTTTTTCTCCAAGTTCGGGTTAAGAATTTTTTTTTATCTCCGATCACATGGACGGCGGAACCGGGGGACACGATAATTTCGTCCGAAGTCCAATGAACACTCAAGAAGGTGGCATGTTCTAATTATATGATTCGATTAACGAAGTATAGTGGAATTAGCTACCTGGAAATCAATAAAAAGTTTTTTCTTGCTTGAAATACAAAGATAGCGAGAAAAGAGAATTTTTTATTATTTCATGATAAAATCGAGGCTTTTAGCGATAGTTTTTTTCGTTTCACTCCAAAAGTGAGCATCAATTTTTTGAACAATTTTTTGAAAAATAACTAGTGAGCAGCACGGAGTGTAAACTTTAATATCCTACGCGTTTCGACTGTCTACACATTCTTCTGTTATCTTTGCAATCAAACGGCCAGAGCGAGAAGCCGCTATGGCTCTTGTTATGAATATTTTAAAAATTTGCTGTTTGCTGATTGACAAAGTGTGCTGAAAAAGCTATATGCTTCAAATATACAAAGCCATTGGTCGTGCATKCACACATGAAATCAGCAACAAGTGTCTGTGCCCTTATTGTAAGAAAAAAAAAAGTAAATAGACAAACCAGTATCCTAGCTAGAACTCACTCAAGTGTGAAAAAAATTCTATTGATTGGGATGCAACTTATAAATATACCTGGTCAATTGGGATATTTAGAAGTGGTGGTCTTATAGCATTGTTATATTGCTTTGCTCTTCCAATATTTTCACCATTTTCTTTGAATTTTTCATAGTCCCTCAATAACTTTTCTAATGTCCTTTCCTCTTTAAGACCTCTCTCAGACAGGGGTAGCTTCAATTCCGCTTGAGTAATCAAGCACCATAGACAACAGTGCTTACCTAAGAGTAGATGTGTTTTATATTATTACTTTAATGATTTTGTTACGAAAATAGTTTTTTTTAACTTTCAAAACTAACCAGAAGCTCCAGAAATTCCATATAGGTCACATAAGAAAGCATAGTCTCCAAAGACAAAAATCTTAAATATCTTATCTCTGTTGAAAAAAATAGTTATGAGAGATCTTTATTAATCCAATTAAAGATTTTGTATTGTGTCCACATGTTTGTTTTCACTTATACAAGAAAGCTTTGTCTCCACATGGCAAAGGCAAAATTGATAATTTATCTTAATCATATTATAAAGGATACTTTATAAAGAATGCGTTTTTGTGTTGTGATTTATATATGGTAGAGGRTAATTTCAACAAATAATTACTAAATCATTAGGTACCTCCATTTGGTGCTCTGCAAATGTTCCACTTCACATTTGTAATGACCAAGGGCCAATTTTAGATTATCTCGATTAACTGTGTTTTGCTTAGAGTTTGGTTTTTCCAAGTTAGCTATTTCAAAGGCCATTTTGAATGACCTTCCCCCTTTGTCCCCTCCAAGTTTAATCCATATTTCATTTGGGAATTATTCCATGCCAGACAAGTCTGTTATGCCTGGAAATACAACATATATAAAAGATCAGATTGGATACATGTATCTGGTACATCATTACCTCATAGCTATATTTTTTATATGTATTTAGTATCATTTTTGGCTGTCATTCAACGAAAAAGAAAATAATCATTAATGCATTTAATGTAGCACGTCACTTACTTTAAATTGTTTTCCAGGTGACCATGTATCACTGATTTTAAGTCAGTTACTCGGGCACATGCTGCCAGACGTATGTCAGACTTCTCTTTAGATTTYGCAAACTCAAATKGAACAGCTTCACTAGTGATCTTGAAACACAGAAATATATTTTCTCATTGAAATTATACAGTTTAAATGTTTACATGTAAGTTAATACCTCAGCTACTTCTTGGCCTTTATCAAAGCATCTTTGTTCTTTTTCACTTGCTAAGTTGATACCCCAGCTTGAGAACCACCTATATATAATTTATGTAGATATTTAAAAAAAACAAATGATTTTGTTTAAAAACTATGTGTCTTCACTTGTGTTTTTAAAATGTTTAAATTTCGTAAAAAGTATTTATCATCTGGATTTTTGTAGTTATTTATGTTACATTTCATATAATATATGTCTTTCAATTCGGTGTGTTTTGATGATCTAGTGATAAGCACCCAAAAAGGTTTTTTTTAATTTTCAAAACTACGAGTATCGTATTTTAATTGTTTTGTATATACCTTCCAAGATGCCTTGTTTTATTCCAAGGTAACCCAAGCTCTGTTTTCATGGCAAGCCCTTCATCAGGAGGAATATCTAAAGCCAGACCAGCTTCCTTTACAATCAGTTGTCGCTCGTCTTTACGAAGTCCTTTCAACTCAGTTGCAAGCTGAACTCTGCCGCTTATTTGGTCGTCATCATCTGTACTGGAACTTTGCTGTCGGAAACACTCCACCTCAGACGCACGACGTTGTCGAGTTTTTGCACACACTTCAGAGCTATTTTTGTGTGCTGCAGTGGTGACAGAAAGCTTGATAGGCTATGTGAATAAAATGGTTTTCATTTGATCCAAATATCGAAAGTAGTTTGTGTTCGTTGTTTCTAGCCATAACATAATTTTCCCATTACAACAGTTTTATAGTGCAATATGGGTAGAAACATGTTTTAGTTTGTGACATTTGCATCCTCTTTTTATGAAGAACGTATATTTTAGTTATAAATTGTCACTTACCGTTCCTCCTGTTTTCATAAAGATGTGGGATTTATTTTGAGTTAGATTTAACTTTCTTTTAATTAGTTGTGTTGCGAGCCTTTCCTCGTGCTTATCAAGGGGTTCAGTCAATGGTTTGACGAGAAGTTGTGGAAGTGTTGTCGTCGGTCGTTCAGGAATATATTCTTTGCAATTGTATTGGTGATCGTCCAGTTGTTCGAGAGCTATAGGTTGTTTGCAGACGGAACACAGTACCAGAAGTGAGCGCAAGATGTTNTGCCTATAAATGAGCTAGAACAAATTAGTGTTGGATCTGAAGTAAGTGTCATCACTGAAATTCAAAATACTAAATGCCATACTTATCAATCTTGCAAAGTTTGTAAAACTGGAGTAATAACAGTAGTTGACGAAAGCTACTGTCCCAAATGCAACAAGACAACAGAATCAGTCAAAAAAGTTGTCTTAGCCATAAAGCTGAAAGATTTTAATTCAGAACTTAAACTGTTTAACCACAATATCGGTTGCCTTATAAGTTCAAACATGACCGATATGTCAAATCAAGATATATTGAATGCAATCGCTCCTTTTCACAATAAGCCCGCCTCTTTCCTCATTTTAAAACAATTTTATTGATTACGTTATCCTTGATATCAACTTTGATTATTAATACTTTTAATATACTGCCTCTTCTAGTGATTAAGGCCCTGTTTACATGAGATACAATACCCCTAGTGACAGGGCCAAAATCCTTTGTTTTCAATCCTCTACGAAAAAAAACAAAGGAATTATCCCTACCACGTAGGGGCACCCTATCTCATGTAAACAGGGTCTTAGAGTAACATCCTTATAAAAAATAACAAAAGTCCTCTAATACTTCAGCATAAGTTGTAATGCTTTAAGTATTCCTCACCCACTCTAAGGATGTTACAAAGAATGTTTTTCTTTAACTCATGAAGACTACATAAAGTACAGTTTCGTTCTCCATTGTTCGTTAATTACATAAATATGGACATTGTGTTATTTACATGTATTATTATGTAGTGCTTACACTATGACCATGAAATAAAATCTAAATAGTTACTAACTAATAGTTTTTATTTAGTGACTATCATTTAACTGGAACAGTCCTTAGTAACAATATATTCTTACACTTGGGAACCAAATACAAAAGAAACAATACCTCATTACAACTGTTCCAGTTGAGTGATAGCAACTAATAGTCACTAAATAAGAACTATTTCTTAGTAACTATTTAGATTTTATTTCATGGACATATTGTAAGCACTCTATTTGAGTTGTTACCTAAAATATAGTTATGTAAAAAGATAAATTTAACACCGTAAAAAGTATGTGGAAAAACTTACTGACGTTTCGGATGTTAATCCTTCGTCCTTCTTTACTCCGACGAAGGATTAACATCCGAAACGTCAGTAAGTTTTTCCACATACTTTTTTACGGTGTTAAATTTATCTTTTTTTTAATCTCTTTTTTTATCTTTTCTTTAGAAACACCGACGCAGCTCACACTAGTTTACCGCTAGTTCCCACCATTTTACCTAAAATATATATGTTCAAAATATTACAGCCTTTTGCAAAAATTATGAGAATTGTTGAAATATCTAAATATCATAATATCGAGTGCATGGTGGGTAATCTCGCGCGATGCCCTTAGTCCCTTGTCTTTGTGTTTAGTTTTTTTTTTTGGCGACAGACTTATCCGTAGTTCTGAAAATTTTCTCGATGTCAACAATGAATTATTCTAGCAAACCCGCGTGTTCCGGACAATATATGGATATGGATATTGTGATATTTAGATATTTAGACAATTCTCATAATTTTTGCAAAAGGCTGTATATAAGTATAATATTATAATAACGACTGGATATTCACTACATTTAGTATGTTCAAAATAAATATGTTCAAAAGCTAAAGTTTTCAATAAAGTGAAAACAATCTTACAGTGAAGCACCAATTACTTAATAGGGCAAGTTGAATAACAAAAAA